ATCCTGGGGTCTCTTGGTTCTTGTCTTCTTGAAGGAAAGAATTCAGTCAAGAGACAAAGACAATTTAAGCAGAAGTTTATTTAACAAAGTAAGCAAAATAAACACTCCAAAAAGAGATTGCGGTGGACTGCCTCAAGGCAGGGAGCAGTCCAAGAGGTTCCAAATTTGGATTTTTAAAAAGGTTTTCCTGCATATTTATGAGATTAAGTGGCAGATTCATGACATAAAGTAACCCTTCCCCTCCCAAATCTTGGTGGACCAGATGTCCCTCTTAGAGTACTGATTTCCATGCTCCTCTGGAAAATCCCACAAAATGGAGGGTGTCAAAAGCATAGTACGGGCTGGAGAAATGGCTCAGAGGTGAAGAGCTCTTGTTGCTCTTGCACAGGTCCCAGGCTTGGTTCCAAGCACCCACACGACTGCTTACAACCATCTGTAACCCCAGTTCCAGGGGACCCAATGCCCTCTTCTCACCTCCTCCGGCACCAGGCATGCAGGTTGTTCACACACACACACACACACACACACACACACACACACACACACTGGCAAAACACCCATACACATTAAAAACAAAAAGTCATGATGCAAGTAATATTATAATAGTGCCATGTCTTTTGAGAATGTAGACTCTGTGAATGCACGTGTGTGGGAGAATGACCTCCGATGCCTTGAGAATGGCACGTGTGTGAGAAGATGCCCTTAGCACCTTAATGTCTGACAGAGCTTGAACAAAAGTGCTCTTTCAAGGATGCTTAACCACAAAGACATGCTGACTAGCAGGAGACACAGTCGCCATGATGCACCTGCAGTTTTCCTTGGTTACTTCATCTCTAGCTCCTTGGCTACCTAGTGTCGGAATCTGGTACACACACTATGTACCCAGTGCCTGGTACACAGTACTGTTCAACAACTACTTATTGAATAACTGAAGTGAAAACAGTAAATACAAGTGGTCTTGAAAAATTATGCAACTTTACTGAAAGGCATTAAAAGAAGATGTATAAATGGACAGATAGACTGTATTCATTGCAATATTACTCAAAGGATATTATTACACACTAACTAGTGTGTGTGTACATGTGTGAAATGGTGTGAGAATCTACACAAGCAGATTCTAAAATTCACACAAAAACACTAAAGGCCCAAATGTTCAGTATTTTCTTGAAAAAAAAATTTAAGAAAAGTAAGGGACTTTCCTTTTTCAACATCATCATCATAAATCTAAAGTGATTAAGACACTAGGACATCACTAAAATCAATTGGGAGCTGTGTGTGTGTGTCAAACATCTACTGTCCCAGCACTAGGGACAAGGGAAGAGGCAAGGGAATCACAAGTTTAATGGCAGCTTGGGCTACTCAGAGTCTCAAGAATAATAAATAACAGGTAGGTAAACAAGTAAAAAAATACATAAACAAGAAAAACCCCAATAATTGAAAAAGAAAAATGGAGGCAAGGTATGGTGATGTATGCCTTTAATGCCAGCATTTGGAAGGCAGAGGCAGGCAGATATCTATAGGTTCAAGACCAGCCTGGTCAGTCAGAGCTACATGGTCAGACCTTGTCTCAAAACAACAGCAAAACAAACAAACAAACAACAAACATGACTCCAACTACACAACATATTATTTAGAGACTATATAATCCATGATAACTTAATTTAGAAATAATGAAGTCACACTCATCTTCACAAGAGGACTAGACAATGGTATGAAACACAGAACTGGTTGCAGTGAAGTTTTTTTTTTTTTTGCTTATTGTTTTGTGGGGCAAGGTTTCTCTGTGAATCCATCCATCCTATGGGATGTTTCATGATTTTTATTTTATTTTTCTTTTGGTTTGTATAATATAGGATATAACATTTTTGCTTTTAAAAAGACTTTAAAAGATAAATCACTCTGTGTGAGTGTTTGCCTGAATGTATGTACATATGCCACATGTGTGCCTAGTACCCCCTAGAATGTCAGAAGTGTTGGATCCCTTGAAACTGGAGTTACTGATGGTAGTAACCATCATGTGGGTGCTGGGAATAGAACCCGGGTCCTTGCAAGAGCAACAAGTACTCAACTACTGAGCCACTTTCCCGACCCCATAGGATACACTTTAAAAGTCATCTTAGGGATGAGGGTGTAGCTCAGCAGAAGTGGACCTCAGAGGCCCTGGGCTTCACTCTTAGCATCTCCAGAATGAAATAAAATATCATTAATATAAAAGCCTTTCTAAACACAACAAAAGTCCAGACAAACTTCATCACAACACCGCTGAAAGACAACAGCCAAATAGAACAAACACGTACAGCTCATAGCACAGGATTGATTTCTTTCAGATAAACCACTAAGAAATGCCAACTCTTAGAGAAAGCTTAGCACAAAACATGAACAGACTGTCAAAAGGAAACATGAAGGTATGCTCAGCCTTACTCAGAACAAGAAACGGAAGCGCTGGGACACTACTGCTTGGTTACTGACTGAGACAGTGAAAGTAGGGTGACCATTGCCTGCTGCGGTCACCTATCAACCTCACGCTCCCTGTCACTCCGGAATCACTATCTACAACCCCAAATGCTGCTCCTGTATACAGTCCTTGATGATTTCAATATAACTACAGACAATTTTTTTATTCCAATATTCTCTCCACCCCATTCCTTGAGTATTTTTTCCCTCTGTTGACACTGTTCCCCTCTTTTGCTGGCCACATGTCACTACTTCAACATAAAATACTCCCACTTATAGGCAGTCAACCTTCCAACTCCCTTCTAATGTCCTGCCTGGTCACTCATCTCCAGCAACTCTTCAGTCCCTCTCCTAGACTCCTAGACTCCTCTCCGCAGCCCTCTCCCCCTTGCGTCCTACATCTCTGTAATCTATGCTTTCACTTTTTCACCATGCCAGCATTTACTGTGCTCAGTGGGCAACCCCTTCCCTGGCGCTCACACAACCACTCACCTGTTCTTCAGCGGTACCTGTACAGGCCAAGGTGGCCAGAGAAAGCTCTCACTAAATTTATGACCACAAACTCAGGCGGGCCCTAGCGCTGCTTGGAAATTATGTGAGGTTTCTCCAGACCATTCACTGTCCTAGACAACCATTTCATCCCCCTAGAGTCTCCCTCTCCATCTTCATCCTCAGCTGTTGAACTTCCTTCTTCACTGAGAAAACAAAGCAATCATAAAACAAAACCAAACATAAAACAAAAAACAAAATCAGAAGAGAGGATCAGCAAGCTCCCACACTAACCCACTTCAGAGTCCGTGTTCTCTGTCTTCCCCGCTGCCTTCCTGGACCAATGGTCTGTGTTCCCCAGGGGCATGTGCATCACCCTGTGTGCCAGAGCCTGCCCTATTCACTGCTGCGGACACTAGCATAGAAATCCTCCCTTCTCTCTCTTGCATACTGGATGTCTCTCAGCATATCACACTGGAGTTTTCCTTGTTCTTACTTACATTGCTCCAGCCACCAACCTGCTTCTCTGACCCCTTCAAGGTTGTTCTGTAGTTGTTTCTGAACTCTACAACCCCATTCTCTTTGTACACTGTAGGGAGTGAGTTAAGTCCTTGACTGAATGTGTTTGTTGACATGAGCATGAAGACCTCTAGTAGTTCAGTCCTACAGGAGGGGCAGAGCCTTCCCCAGGTGAGGCTGAGAGGGATGGAAAAGCCTTCCTTGGGTCTGAGTGTGAATGTTGACAGGATGTGCAGACCCACCACCACCACCCAGTGTCACATCCTGAAGACAGCTCCCCTACAGAGACTGCTCCTACTGGTTAGCTAAACCCACCTCCTCGTTCAGCTGTATGTAACAACCCTGACTGCGTGTTTATCTGTGTGTAATAAGCTCACCTCCTTGTTTAGCTGTGTGCAGTAACCCCACCTCCATGCTGAACTGCGTATGTTAAACACACTGAGCTTCTGGGATGCCAAGGCTCCTTTGTGAGACTGAGCACAGACATCCCAGTCCTAGCTTTTCTGTGTGTCCACATTTGTCAGCCCTTCGTTCTATGGCTGCCCAGTTAGCTCAGTCCTTGGCACTGTGCAAGGACTTTGCATCGCACCTCAACTCCACTGAAATATTCCTGTTGAGGTCATCAGTATCTTTGACACTGCTAAATCTAAAGATCAGTGTTGAGCAGTATTGGCTATGGTTGCCTACTGTCTCCTCCTTGAGACATTTTCTGACGTAATCTCCAGGAGATGGCCCTGCCTTGGCTTTACTCGGACCTCACTGGCAGCTTCTATTCATTCTCCTTTGCTGGTTCTACATCTCCATGCTATCTAAATACTGGACAGCTCGGGTCCAGCGCTTAGAACACTTCTGTTTTCTATCAACACTCATTGCCCCCAGTCTCATTTATTCACATTTGTGCCCAGCGCCTGCATCCTTCCCTGAGGACCCCCACTGAGGTTTGCAGCTTCTTTTTAAACTTCCCACCTGGGTATTTAGTTAGCCTCCCAAACATGGCATAGCTACAACCAAACTCCTAGCATCTCCCTGCAAACGTGCTCTCCCCCAAATCTCCTTCCTAGGGAACTCCCTCTTCCAAATTGGTCAGATCTGAAACCCCGTAGACATCTTTGAATAGCATCTCTCTAGTTTTGCCTTTGACGCTCTTGCTTCACACCTTATATAACAAAATCCAGATACTAAGACAGGCGTGGTAGCGCACATATGGGATCCCAGCACTCAGGAGTCAATCACACAGCACAGAGCACCAGCACCTTGCCCACAGCAGGCCCGTTCTGCCACCTCCCCCTTAGATGCTCTTCACCATCCTGTCACACACTAGTTCTTCTCTGGTTCCTTTGCTAAAGGAGGTGGGACTGTAGCTCCAGAAAGTTTGTCTTAGGGACTTTTCTCAGAGGGCCATGGCTGGCATTTCTTTGGTACCTTGGGAAGTCTCACTGGCCTCAGAGCCACCCACATAGCACCTTAGGGAACCTCTCTGCTTCGACCTCTGCTGAATGCTCATTGGCTCAATCCAGATCCCCTCCCCAAACCTGTACCTGTCAATAATGACTGGATCTGAGGGTGTCTCATTCCGGTTTCCACAGCTCTTCCGGTCACAGCACCGGCTGAAGAAAAGATGAAGAAGACAGAAAGAAGTAATGTTGGGGGTAGGCCCAATGACGGATCAGATGTCCTGTTCTGGTTGTAGAATTCCTATGTGCAGGGGATCTCTTCCAGGGACTTGAGGAAGAAAGCCAAGAAAGGTCTTGGCAGGACCCTTGGCAACCTCGTTCTAGGGATGAGGTTGGCTGTGAAACCTTTGTGTCACCAAGCAGTGGATCACCTACAGTGTCTCTTGGGTTATCACAAAGTGAACCTGCCCCTGGAAGCAGCACGCTGACCCAGACAAATCCTGTGCCCAGCACTCCAGAGGCCTTCTCTAGCTTTTTAAAATTATTGTCACTTTAATCATTTTCCTTCCAAGGGTGGCCACCATCTCAACTACAAGTTTTTAAACATATTTTCTTTTCCACATATTAGGAACTGTCTCCAAGGCACTGTAGGACTGGTGTATCCAGGGAAGCCCTTCAGGAAATGCTAAGTTCCAGAGTAAAGAGAAGGGGGAGCTAAGGGCTGTGTGCTCCTCTCCACCCCTAACTTATCTATCAAAGAGCTGCCCAGCATTTCTCTCACCTAGGCAGTTAGGTTTCCTCCACCAGGCCCTTAAGCAAATCCCAGAGGCTCCTAGGTTGCCCAACCCAGTTCTGTCCCATCTTCCCAGAGAGCTACTCCCCGGAGCTTTATTAGTTAAGCTTCCAGTAGCAGTAGGAGGCCTCTCTTACAAAGACACTTAGAGAAGAAGTCACATAAACAGGCCAGGCTAATGGGGCCTCAAGGAGCCTCTCTGCTGCCCATGCTTCCCCAGGGAACTGGAGCTGTTGTGAAATAGGAGCAGGGTTTGACAGGGGACCTGAGCTACATCTTGACAAGGTGCACTGTTTTGTCAATGACAAGGTACATCCTGACATTGCCCATCTTACCTGCACATGATCTCGTGAGTGAGCAGCACTCGGCACATTTCAGGGTTCTTGTCCTGTCCCTCATAGATGATAGCCTGGGGAAGAGGAAGTGCGCAGGCTCGTGGGGAAGGAGACTCCTCTCAAGTCCCCGCGGCAGGCATGGGTGAGCCTGTGGGTCTCCCAAACCCAGGTCCAAGAGAGGTCCCACCCCAGGAAAGATCATGTTCTTTGCCCTCATCTGAAGAGTCCAGGAGTGTGACCAGGACCCTGAACCCTGGCTGCTCAGGTGGAAGAGAACCTTCTACCCTCAAATAGGACCATCATCTAGTTGGCAATAACAGCACCAGGTCTGCAGATTCCCTGCTCCTGGTCCTACCCTGCATCAGGCCCCTACCCTCAACCACTCCTGCAGCTTCTGTGCAGGCTGTTCAGTGCTTATGGTGGGCTTCTGCCTCTGCTCGTGTATATGGTCCCTCTCTGCATTCCCGCTAACTAATGAAACAGGCCACTGAGCTGCCTCTTCCCACCTGCCTATCACTTCCACGGCTCAGACCAGTATGTTGCCCTCGGACTGTTGTATCCCCTTTCACAGACTCCCAGTGGCCCCTTTCCTGAACAAGATGTCAGCTTCCCAAACTGGAAATCTGGTTTTCTAGTCTACCAGCCTCTGGGCCTTCCAGCCTTCCTGTTTGTTAAGTCCTTTTCTCTCGAGGCTCCCACACGCCACCCAGTTCCACTGCCATTGCTTGGCCTGCCTCCCCTGTCGCAGTGACTGGGAGCTTTCTGGACATAAGTCATTCTGCTTTGCTTTGGTGGAGGCTGATAGAAGCAGCTGTCCATACAACAGCATGCAAGTTGCCACATTTCGTTTCAGAGTCACTAATCTGGCCCATTTAGGATTCCAGCTCCTTCTACCAGCATGTTTCTGAGATCCCTGAGACTTGGGCTCCCTCTCAGAGTGCATCAGGTTGGTCCCTGAGCTGCTTTTGTCACCCCAGCCCCCTTCCTGGAACATGATATCATCAACGTACTGAGTGTCTGCAGTCCGAGCTCCGGGACAGCACACAGGTCTCTTCCCTGACATGGTGCGCCCATCCCCTTTGCCGCTGGTGATGACACTAGAGGACTTTCTCTCGAGAACTGCTCTCAGTGGAGTTGCCTATACTGTGTACTCTCGCCTTAGGCATGGTCCGCAGACAATGGCTGACTGACAGAAGGCGCAAAATGCTGCCTCTTGCTTTAAGGGCACCGACTCCAGTGCCATTTCTATTCTGGTGATCCCTGTGGGTTGGGCTAAGGCTAGACTCGACCTGAGACCACCTGCTTCCTGGGTATCTTCCCGTCCTGCTCCCTTTCCTCTCCTCCTGAGGAGGGCTTTCCCTCCTCACCAATAAACTGCCTGCCCCTGAGTTTGTGTCTAAGTTTGGGTTACTAAGGTTTATGACTTAAGCCAAGTCTCTTATAAATACTTTCTTTTCCAGTCAGGAGAGAAAAAACACAATCTTCTTGCCATAGGCAGAGAACTGGGAGAGCCAGAGCGGTGAGAGTAAAGGTACAAGACAGACAGTGTGGGGTTAAGGATGTTTACTCAAACCAAGCTTAGGATGGGCCTGAACCCCCAGGCTGGCTCACCTGCTTAGACATGGAGTCAATGAGGCGCACATAGAGGTCTTGCTCTGTCCGGAGTCCTGGGGTGGGAAGGCAGAAAGAACTTGCTGTCAGGGGCGCATGAGGATGCCTCAGATGACTATACCCATGCCCTCTCTGGCCCTAATGAAGTGTTAGGTGTCTCAGAGTACTGTAGTACGTGGACTCTGCTTACCATTGTTATACACCAGCCGAAGGCGGTAGTGGATGCCATTGTTTGTCTTTTCTGTCCCAGGCTCCTGCAAGGACAAGACAGGAGGATGTTCAAGTGCTCAGGGCCTCCAACCTCCTTCACCCATACCCTCCTTCACCCATACCCTCCACCCTAATCCCACTGCCCTTTGTTGCCTGCCCGCCACTCACCCACGCTTTCCCATTCATTTACCATTTATCCACTCATCTTCCCCAGTGTGCATGTGCGTGTGTGTGTGGCAGGGTCCCTGAAGCCCTCCCATCGCTCCCAGTGCTAGTCCCAGGCCAGCCCATGAGCCTCTCACTCGATCCTTTTCCACGAAGTCGATGAAGGCTGTGCGCTCCACCTCCACGGGCTGCCCCTGCCGGTCGTACATGGCCAGCACGAAGTGGAAGAAGTTGGACTTCCTGAGGTTGGAGGGGGGCTGCTTTTCAAAATGTGCTCTTGCCAGGCCCACGCCACTGTGGGAGGAAAGGAACTGGAAAACCACAGGAAGGGCCCTCCAGTGAGAAAGACCCCAATGGTTCTGGCCAGGCAGGTAGCTGGCCAGGAGTAGGCTTTGACATGTCAAGAGTTTGGACAAGAGGTCAAATATGACGGGCCCTTCCATCCTGGACAGGACCATATCAGTTCCATAAAGAGGCCTCTAGCACCATTGTGCTTCTTTGATAAGGAACACCACAGGCGCTGCGTAAAGGCTTCCTGCCAGGCTTTCCCCGCTGCAGGCTTCTCCCTGGCACTCATATTCAGAAAGGCTTATCTCTAAAATCAAGTGTATAAACTGTAAGTCAATTCATTGTGCTATCTAGAGGCATTTAGAAGTGTGTCTCAATGCATCAAAGGGCACCTAGGAGGTTCTGGAACAAATTTCCCACTGCACCCCAGTTTTCAGCTGGGGCTCCACTCAGACTGTGGCATTATTTAGGACACGATGTCCATCATACTACCAGGGACATGAACTGGTTCCAAGCTACTAGTCTGCCCATCCTAGACTTTGGACTATGGCTACAGATGGGGAATACCTTTTCTGGGTACAGAGGGCACAGCACGACTCCAGCTTCAAGACTTTATGGCCTCCGGGCAGAAGGATCTCCTAGTTTGACCTTACAAAGGCTTTCTCCTGGCTCATCAGAGACCTTGCTCAGAAGCAAGGAGGAAGAGAAGAACAAGGCCTCCTGTACCAGATTGCCCCTAACTCCAGTGTGGCACTAAACTCTATAACCTGCAGCATGTAGCACTGGAATTAAATGCCTGGAAGAGGAGGGGATTCACGGGCAGAGAGATGGAACAAGGGACAGAGTGTGGGTACCCCTAGCCCAAATATGTCACCATGTAAAAAGGAAGCAAAAGAGGAAAATACTGCTTGGGTTTTTTTGTTTGTTTGTTTGCTTGCTTTTGGCCCCCACACCCGTGTGTGTGTGTGTGTGTGTGTGTGTGTGTGTGTGTGTGTGTGTGTGTGTGTGCACATGTGTTGGTTTGGTCTTGTTTTTGAGACAGGGTCTCACTCTGTAGTCTAGGCTGGCCTAGAACTCACTATGTAGTTCAGGCTGGCCTCAAACTTGCTGTGATCTTCCTGCCTCAGTCTCCTAAGTGCTGGGATTATGATATGAGCCACCACACCTGGTAAAAAAAAAAAAACACACACACAAAGGATAGTAATTCTTTTGTGGGATATGGGGGAGACTACAGGGACTGTGGCTTTCCCAAGACCCCCAGGAAGTTAAGTATAAACTCAGTAACCAGAAGAGGCAAGAGAGCAGAACAAACAGCCCCAGAAACAGCTATAGGAGCACGTATCAGTGGGCCAGCACTGGGTGAGGGATGTAACACAGCCTAGCATGAATGAAGCCCCGGGTTTAACGCACAGTGCCACGTGCAAGCAGGACTGGTGGTGCACACCTGTAATCCCAGGACCCTGGAGGTGGAGACAGGAGGACTGGAAGCTCATCCTTGGCTACATAGTGAGTTGGAGGTGAGCATGAGATACAGGAGACTCTGTTTCAAAATAAATAGAGAAAGAAGAACAGTGAAAGGAAATGGGAATAATGGGAAGGGGGCTGGGGAGATGCTTAAAGCGCTTGTCATGTAAATGTAAGGACTTCAGAGCCCCAGAACCCACATAGATGTTGGGTAGACATGACATTGCTAAGAAGGCAGGGACAGGGTACACATAACAAGGTGGCTAGCTAGCCTAGCCATATGGATGAGCCCTGGGTTCAGTTGAGAGGTCCTGCCTCAGTAAGTTGGAGAATGATCAAGGAAGACTCCAAGGAAGACATCAATCATGGTCCTCCATATGCACAGGTATGCATGTGCTCCCACACATGCATTTTGCATGGATACCCTGCAAAAATGGACTCTGCTTCAGTTGCTCAGGCTAGTATTCTCCATGCACTAGGTACCTAGACTCCAAGATGATGGTTCCCAAGGATTCTGCCTCTTGGTACTCATGTGCTTAAGCAGGCTCCTCTCATAATGTGTTTCTGCTGGTCTACATGGCCAATTAAAATATAACAAAAATGACATCACATAGCTTCTGCATTTTAGGTCACAAAAGCACTGTGGCCTCTGCCTTGTTCTTTTTTCTGACTCATTACACAGGGGAAGCCAGGTGCCATTAAAAACCAGCGCCTAGGACTGACGAGGTACTAAAACAGCTGGTAAATTGTGTGCTTTATAAGCATGAGGAACCAACAAAGAAAGCCAGGCATGGTGCCATATGCTTGCAATCCCAGAGATGGCAAGAAGGGAAGCAGAGATGGAGGATCCCTGGGGCTTGCGGGTCATTGCATGGCTCCCTGGCCAGTGGGAGATCCTGTCTCGAACAGAAGGTAAAAAGTACATGAGGAATGACATGAGGCTGTACACTGACTTCCTTACGCACTCCATACATATGCACCCATACATGAACACACACACACACACCCATCAGGCATGCTTCCTTGACAATGACTACCAAAGGCATTGCTGTTTGATATTTTCTTCCACATAACTTAAAATCAGGAGCAGGTGAGCTAGCTCAATGGGCAAAAGGCTCTTGCTGCCAACCTGATTTGATCCTAGGAACCTACATGATAGGCGAGGACCAACTCTCCTCACACCTCTGTAAGTGCACCATGGGCGAGGACCAACTCTCCTCACACCTCTGTAAGTGCACCATGGCACACAGGAGCAACTCCCCCCCCCCACACACACACAATCCAAATGAGTAAATACAAGTAAACTTTTAAAAAATCAACTTACTGTTTTCTTTGGCTTCATACTAGGCCATAGTATCTAAGCTGTCATAGAGTGAGGCAATCGCTATGTTTTCATTCACACATAGACAATTTGAAAAAAAAAAAAAAAAAAAAGAACGTTCTTTCTCCTGGATACATTCTTGGGAGCCACAGTGACCACGGGAATGGAGGATCTAGGAGGTAGATACGATGAGTCATCTTGTCTCCCGAGCGAGATGACTAGAAGGTGCCCAACACTCCTCCCTACCGGAAGTTCCCTTCTCCAGGGGTATTGTTCTCTCCCCATTCTTCCCCATTCTCTCCGGGCTTGGCTGCCTTTCAAGTGGGAACTTGACCACCCTCTGTCAGCTTCTCAACCTGACTGAGAGGCAGGGAAGCCTGAAGGAGCTTTTGATCACAGCAGGCCTCTGATTACCATGGATGAATATGCTAATGAGACATCAACTCTGAGCTCCACCCTCCTCCTCCCAGGGCCAGCTTAGCTTGAACTCGGCCAGGGATGGTTTCAAGAACCACCGAGTGGAACAGATGACAGGAGGGGCAGGTCTTGCAGAACAATCCCATCACCCCTGTCCTTCACTCCTATGCTGAGGCTGGGAGGCTCTCAGACAGCGGGGAGAAAGCAGAGAGGAGAGAAGTGGGCGCTGGGAAAGTGCAGAAAGCCCAGGCCGCTGAATGGGCTTTTCCATGCAAAAGCTCTTGCTGGGCTTGGGGCTTCTAACCTGGTCCAGAGGAAACTGATGGTGGCCTCCGTTTCCCTTCCTACCCCAGTCCCCTTGACAAATGTCATGAGTCAGTCCGGAGTCCTATTTATCCCCTCCTCCTGCTCATCTCCTGAGAACCAAACCTGGAAGTCTTCCCTAAGCCCTAGGCCACACTTCATATGCTGGGCCTGCCCTCCCATTGGGAGACAGAGCACAGAGATTGCGGAAGGGGAAAGAACGCAGGTTCCTCTAGGGGACATGGATCAGTATCAGGTGATCGGGTGTGAGGCATAGAGAAACGGAGCTGCCTCACATGCCCAAGATGATCTCACTTAGCCTAGCTCTATTCCTCCTGAGGCAGCCTACAGTAGCACCCAACCCTCCACCCTGCTCAGGCTCACAGGCTTCTGGATAGCAGCATTGAGGAGTTAACATTTCCATTATCAGGAACTACCACAGAACAATATTAACGACAGTCTCAGCCCCCATCAGACCATGGTTGGCCAATAGAATGGGAAAACCCCTGCTAGGCACATCCCATCTGCTTCTTACCTGGGAAGTCTCCAATTTAATCTCAGTCATGCCTCAGCTGGCTAAGTGAGGAGATTGAGATAAAATGGAAAAAGATTTTGCTGAAAAGAATCTAGATTTTGTATGTGCATGACACAGAATAATACAAGGATTGTGCTGGGCAGAAGGACAGAAAGCCAAAGAAAACGGAAATGCTAGACCGTGTCTCCCTTCCCTGGCTGTGCTCACTGCTCCTGTACCTGTGACTGCAGTAGGTGATCAACACCTGTTAGATAGAACCGCAAGCCGCAAAGGGAGAAACCTAGGGAGGAGGAAGGAAATTTTTTTTCTTTTCTCCCCTTGGGAGAAGCTGCTGTTCTTGTAATAGAAAACAAACCACAGTTAAAGAACAGAAACAAACAGAGACATACTGGAACAATGCACAAAGTACCCAGTGATCTGAGAGGCCCCATGGCCATGGTCTGGGAACAGGCATGGTAGCTATGGGCAGCACTAAGTGTCCTCTGCTTAGAACAAAGGACAGAGATGAAGTCCAATGTCTCTGGGTGTGTGCTCTCCAGAGAGGAGTTGTTCAAGACAACTATTAGTGAGTAGAAAGAAACTTGGAGATGTCTACTGATACATAGTCTTTATCTAAAAGAAAGATGGAAGGAAAGGAGGATAGAGTCCCTGAATCCTGGAGAGACATGGATTTCATTTATGTACTCCTAGACGTAGAGACCTCCCTGTGGTAAAAACCTAAATGTCAACAGCTTATTGGATTGACTCGAGGGACTTCTTGAGTGGAGTGGGACAAAGACAAGAAGTCAACCTAGCAAGCTACCACTGTAGGCAGCCAAGTTCAAGTCTATAGGGAACTATGAGAAGACATGGGATGGGTACTTGAGACTACCCCACCTGAGAACTGGGTCAGGGACTCAGTGTGTTAGGCACTGCCACCTTTTAAGCCACTGCTTCCTCCACCAGAATCATTTTATCTTATTTATG